ATTTCCTATGGTTCCCTGAGCAGAAGGTTGGTTTTGAGACGTTACGGCAGAGGTTATGTGAGGCCCCGCTGTTGACCCTTCCAGAGCGTGTCGAGGATTTCACGGTATTTTGTGATGCATCCATCACCGGGTTGGGGATGGTCCTTATGCAGAGGGGATGAGTGATTTCTTATCCTTCTTTGGCAGCTGAATCCGCATGAGGAACGATATCTTACTCAAGATTTGGAGTTGGGGGTAGTGGTGTTTCCCCTCAAGATTTAGAGACATTATCTATATGGGGTCCATTGTACCGTTTACGTGGATCACAAGAGTTTGTGATATCTTATGGACCAGCCAAACCTAAACATGAGGCAACACAGGTGGATGGACGTGGTCAAGGATTATGACTGCAAGATCCTTTACCATTTGGGTAAAGCGAATCTAGTAGTGGATGCCTTGAGCAGCAAGTCGACTGGATCTTCAGCTGTAGATATGTGTATGAGGATATCCATTGATTCTCCACTTTTGGATTTGATTAGAGGGGCACAAGCAGAGGGAGTGAGGAAGGAGATCTAGAAGAAGGAGAGGATCAGGGGTGAGATTGACAGGTTCGTCACTAATAGCCGGGGATTGTTGACCCGTTGTGGTCGAGTTTAGGTTCTAGTTGCTGGTGGGATCAGGTAGATAGTTTTGGAGGAGGCCCATAAGTATCAGTTTTCTATACACCCGGGAGCCACCAAGATGTATCGAGATTTGAGATTAAGTTACTGGTGGCCGTGTATGAAGAGAGAGATAGCCTGGTATGTAGAGATGTGGTTTACCTATAGGATGGTCAAGGCCGAGCATCAGAGGCCACATGGAAAGCTGCAGCCTTTAGAGGTTCCCATGTGGAAGTAGGAACAGATCACCATGGATTTTATCACCAAGTTGCCGAATACTGAAAAGGATTTTGATGTTATATGGGTCATCGTGGATCGATTGACCAAGAGTGCCCAGTTTTTCGCCATCCTGGAGAGCTTTTTGGCCGAAAGGTTAGCCGATGTGTATGTTCAGGAGATTGTTGCACGTCATAGGGTTTCGGTCTCCATTTTATCAGACCGAGATGTTCGGTTCACTTCCCGATTCTGGCAGAAGTTCCACGAGGAACTGGGCACGAAGCTACATTTCAGCACTGCTTATCATCCTCAGACTTATGGCCAGAGTGAGCGGACGATCCAGACACTTGAGGTTATGTGGCGGGCTTGTGTAATAGATTTTGGTGGGAGTTGGGATTCCTACCTACCTCTTACGGAGTTCTCCTACAACAAACAACTATCACTCCAGCATTTGGTGCCCCGCCTTTTGAGCTCCTGTATGGTCGGAGATGTCGTACCCCAGTTTGTTGGGGGGATGTTGGTCACACAGTCATGGGAAGGATTGAGGTAGTCCTTCAGACCACAGAGCTTATACAACAGATCAGGCAGAGACTGTAGACAGTTCAGAGTTGGTAGAAGAGCTACGTTGGCGCCAATCGGAGTTGAAATTTCAGGTCGGTGATATGGTACTACTGAAGGTCTCACCCTGGAAGGGTGTGATATGCTTCAGGAAGAGGGGGAAATTGGCTCCTCGGTATATTGGACCGTTCCGTGTGATCGCCAAGGTAGGCAGGGTGGCCTACCGGTTGGATTTGCCGAGTGAGCTCAGCCCGATCCACAACTCTTTCCATGTTTCGCAGTTGCGGAAGTGCGTGTTGGACGATGAGGCAGTGGTCCCCTTGGATGATATTCAGGTCGATAAGCGCCTGAATTACGTTGAGAGGCTGATAACGATAATGGAAAGGAAGATGAAGATTCGGCACAACAAGGAGATACCTTTGGTAAAAGTTTAGTGGCAGCATAGGAAAGGTTCCGAGTGGACCTGGCAGCCGGAGGCGGAGATGCAGGAGTATTATCCTGAGTTGTTCGCGACAGCCGACTTCAAGGACAAATTCTAGTTCAAGTGTGGGAGAATTGTGACATCCCGATGATGAGGTATTTTCAATTTTAACCCTATGTATGAATAAATATTGCATTTTACTCCATGAGTATATGAAAGAGTACAAAATGGCCCATAATGGCAATTTGGTAATTTTGGGCATTGGAGTAGTATGTTGGGCGTACATTGTGTACACTAAGCGTACTAGGGCGGACCCTAGTATGTGGGGCATACACCTCGTACGTTGGGCGTACATGGAGGAAGTTCAATCCCTAAATTTTAGGGTTTGGTCCATATATAAACACCATTATAGCCTTACTTATCATTCTCTCATTTGTGTGCCTTTTTGTTGTTCTTGAGGAAGGAGAAGTTGGTGCAAGGATCTTGAAGCTTAGAAGCAACTTAGATATGGGATTCCACACTTGCTAGAAACCTCCGGGAGGTAAAAAGTTCACAACTTGATCACTCTATGTTGTAGATCTAGCCATTTTTTCCTTTAGGGCACTTTTGATCCCAAATATGGTGATTCTTGAGCATGACATGTTCTTGATCAAATAAGTCGTCCTTTCAAACCTTATGAGGGGCTTTAAGTCATAAAAATGTGGTCTTGATGGTTAGTTTTACTCCATTCATGCTATAGAAGGTCTTAATGCATTAAGATGTTGCGATTTTGTGTTTTAAGAACTTAATGGACATGCAAAGTCATAAAGTTGGAAACTTTATGACTCTTGAAGGTATTTTAGCCTTGGATATGCAATTGGACGTGTTAAGATGAAGAAATAACCACTTAATAGGATAAGAGGGGGTTGTTGCGTACGTTGGGCGTACCGAAGGGTACGCTGCACATACGCATATCTAGCCCCGATGCCTCGGATAGCTGGTATGCCCCACGTACGAAGCCCGAGTCGACTCGGCTGAGTTGACTCGACGGAGTTGACTTGGTTGTGTTGACTCGATTGATTTGTTGACTTTGACTAGTTTTGACTAAGGGTATTTGTGGGGAAATGTTATTAATTTAGAATGGAAATCTTTTGACAGTTAGGATTTGGGTTGAGCCGGTATTTGGGAGCAAAGTATTGATCAACTATTCATCAGACTGTGAGGTGATTTTCCTCAGTGTACTTACAGGTTGAAGGCACAATGGCCAGCCCATTGGATTGATATCCTGGTTTTACTGTATGCTATTATGCTATAGTGATATGTTAGATCTGTATCTTGGTATATGGGATTCTGCTATGCTGTAGTGATCTGTTAGATTTGTATGACCACCTGTATGTGCTAGCTATTAAATGTTATGGTATATGTTGATATGTGATGGTGTATCGGGTTGAGCCGGTCCTGCTTTGTGCTGAAGGCAAAGATACCCGGGGCGGTCCGGATAGGTTGTAGGCCCTGCGAGGCGGTCCAGTTAGGACGAAGGCCCGAAGAGCGGTCCGGATAGGCAGTAGGCCCTACGAGGCGGTCCAGTCATGCTGAAGGCTCGGAGAGCGTTCCAGATAGGTTGTTGGCCCTGCGAGGTAGTCCAGTCAGGCTGAAGGGTCATATTTGCATGATGTTGTTTGTTATGTTTATGTTGTGGTACTTTGGGGGAACTCACTAAGCGTTGGCTTCGAGTTTTAGTTTTGTTTCACGTACTTCCGAGGACCGTGGAAAAGCTAAGGCATGACCGTACACATCCTGAGTTTTATGTTGTTGATATTGGGAGACTCTGTTTTTGAATAATGTTTTGAAAACAATGGTTATGTAAACACTTCTTTTTAGTAAATGGGTTGTTTTGAAAAGTTTTAAATTTGTTGTGATTTTTGAGATGTTTCAGACAAGGTGGACAACCATGTGTAGAGCTTCCACCCAAAATGTGGATGGAAGATGACCTTCGAAAATAATAGTACATATGATGTTGTTTATGGTATGGACCATTCGTTCTGATTTCTCGTTCTGTTGGGATATGGAGGGATAAGAAAAGTGAAATATTGTGCCATGTTGGTCAAAAAGATTATGAAACTGATTGTTATCAAATTCACCTCCATGATCACATTGAAATTGTTGTATGTCAGTTTTAAATTGGTTTTGCACATATTTCACGAAAATAAAGAAATTTGCTAAAAACATCAAATTTCTATCTTAAGGGATACACCAAGAAGAAATGCGAAAAGTGGTCAAGAAAAATTATGTAATATTTTATGTCACTTGTACTAGGGATAAGGGATTCCTACAAATCGGAATAAACAATCTCAAAACATTTAGAAACATTGGAATTTGGAATTATAAAAAGGTAACTTAATGTGTTTTCCAAGTTGGCAAATAGAACAATTGACATTAGAAGATGTCTTATTAGAAGGAAGAAAACGACTAGAAACTAATTTATTGAAAGAATGAGGGCCAGGGGGTCGAGACGTTGATGCCATAAAGACAAGCTAGAAGTGGTAAGAGCAACGGATGACAGGAGATCAAAAGTAGCTGGGTATAAATCTCCAGTGTTGTCACACCTAAGTAGGACCTGATGAGTTGCCAAATCCTTCATAGAAAAACCAAAAGGATTAAATTCAATGGAAACTTTATTGATAGAAGTAAAACGATGAACATATATAAGATTTTTTAATAATGTTAGGTGTGACATGGATGTGATGAAGGTGCCAATGGCAATGGGTGGTATGAAGTTTTGAGTGACCGGTATGGGTAACAGGAATATAGTGACAATTTCCAACAATAACATATTTAATAATGCTATTATTACTGATAGAAAGAAGTCTACTTGAATCACATGCAAGGTAAGAAATAGCCACGGTGTCCATATACCATTTTGCATCCGTCCCATCATTAACGGACATTGAGTTGAATGCTTGAGCCAAGTCAGTTGGTTGGTCTTGAGGCATCAATGGGAACCACTGCCATTGTGCTTGGAGAGTCGAAGTCATTGAAGCATGGAATGCTTGAGCAGCTGGTCCTGAGTTCGTAACATGGGATGATATAGGAGCTGGTGGTGGGCCTATAAGGATAGGCTACTGATAAGGGCCTGTTCCTGTCCGAAGATTGGGCTGCTGATTGTAGTTGATGGGCCGAGGATATGACTAATAATGTTGCGAAAAGATCCAAGGAAAAGGCTGCCAAGACAACGGGTAAGGCTGCCAAGGTAGCATGTTTGTGAATGGGCCTCCAAGAGCAGCAGGAGGCTGTTGTTGTGGGCAATGCTGATGTTGGTCGCTGTTTCCGTTGTTTCGTTGTTGTTGATTTGGTCGATGACCACCACGAGAGGAGTTGGTGGTTGGTGGTCGGCTGTTGTTGTGACCAGGAAGAAGAACAGAGGGTGAGGAGGCGTGATCAGAGTAAGATTCTTGAGTCGGGAGAGATTTCTCATAGCATTTCTCTTCAACCAATAACTTAGAGCGAGCTTGAAGGAATGATAGAGGCGGGTCTCGGTGGCAAAGTAGAGTTGCAATGTGCTCAAATTGAGGAGATGAGCAACAAGGGTCTTTTCTGGTATTGGGTTCTCGATATTAGCCAAGAGATCAAAGACGGTCTTGATTCGTTGACAATACTGAGCAATGATAAGATCACCAAGAGTGATGTTTCGTAACTTATTCTCGAGTTCAATGGTGCGAGCATCTTTGTTATCTTAGAAGAGATTCCTGAGGCTAAGCCAAACCGTGTGGGAGGTGGAATTTTTGGTGAGAATCATATTGAGAAGAGATTGAGTGAGGGTTTTGGTGAGAATCATATTGAGAAGAGATGTTAGGATTAATATCCTTAATGATCAATTAGATTCAGTATAAAGTAAATCAAGAACACAAAGAAGATTCAAGAATGTCGAATGATTAAGTGTCACACCTCAGAAGAACTCGATAAAGAATTGCTACTGTAGATGAGTGATTAGGGTTACAGTGTAATTATCAAAGTTAACTAAAATACGATGCATGCATGCATCTTAAATACTCTAACCCTAGAACTAATAACGAGTGGATAGGCCCAACTCGATAATACAAAAGACTAAGTAAAAGGCCCAATGACACAACATCTAATACCCAACAATATCCCCCTTTGCGTCAATTGAGGCACGAAACCATTAGCCTTGGATTCGCTTCTGCACTTCATACACCTTTGGAATGATAGCATACATTGCCTGGTGAATCTCAATGTACCACAGAACCATATCTGAGAAGCACTTGAGGTCATCCTTGTTGTTGCCTTTGTATTTGCCGACCAGGTCCAAAATATACTCAAGGAAGGATATGGTATAGAGATGATTATCAGAAAGAAAGAAGCATCCTTTGCGAAAGTCTGCTCCAGTTCGTTCCCTTGCAGAATAAACCACAAACCATTCTCCACTATAAATTTTCCCCGACTTCAATGTTTCAAAATCCTTAGGAGTTTCCTTGCGAACAGCTGAAGGCTTCTTTCGCAGCACGGCAGCAACCTCAACATCCATCTCCCTAATCTCCTGAACATATGACTTTATCATTTGCTTGAGATGAGTCATGACAGGTTCGTATTTTTCTTTTTCCTTCAGCAACATGTTATAAAGAATGAACCAGTCATTGGGGTTAAGGCATGGTAAGTCTGCAAGAGTAAACTCGTAGCACTGGCTGGCCGAACCTCTTGCAACTTTGAACTTCGCATTCGGAAAGCTGTCAGTCTCGATCGGTCCTGTAACTTTCACAGCGGTAATTTTGCTCAACGACCAGGTTTTGTATTGTGGCTTCATATGCTTCAGATAAAACGAGAATAGCACTATAATCAGCCCCGCTGTCTGTGAATGGAGCGTTCGCCACTTTAACAAAAGAACGAAACCTGAAGGCCTTTGGAGTGATTGGCAGATCCAGTTGCGAGTCTCGTGTGTTCTGAAGATCAAACGAAACTACTGGCTCTAACCAATACTGGCTTGGAAGATCAACAACATCACGCTGGATTCGCTTCAAGGCTCATTTAAGGAACAAGAGCTTTTTGCTCTGAAGAGTAGCATGTGCCTATTTTTCAACCCTTTCCTTTTCTTCAGCCTCACGGATGATTTGCTGGTGCTCATCCAGTTCAGCTTCACGAACTTTTTGCCTTTTAAGCTCATCTTCATCACACACTTCTTCTTCTTCATTATCAAGAATTGGGTCGTCACTGAATAATTTTTCCTTGCCCTTGGGTTCTTTCTTGACAACGGGCTTGAAAGGAGCTTTGGGTTCTTCTTTTCGTGATCCACCAGCCACACCTTCTCCCCCTTGTTTCGGATGAAAGGATTGATCAGAAACACCTTCAAGGTGGTGAATCATTGCAAGGACTGGCCTTAACTTTTCTGCCAGATGCTTACGCGTTGTGATGGTGATCATGGAGTCCCTGGTCTCAATGATATCCGAGAGCATGCCAGTAACATCAGTTATACAGCTTCGCATGACTGCCCTCTCAGATAACAGATCATTGACCTGCTTCTCTGAAGCTTCTAGTTTGATACTTAACACCTTTGCTTCTTCTGACTTGAGTGCAAGAGAGTCCTTGATGGTACTCTCCTTTATCAGTTCGTCTTTAAGTTGTGAAATCTGAGAGGAGATAGTTGCTTGAAATGTTTCATGGTCAGTTTTCAGACCAGTGCAAATCTCTTGCAGCTTCGTCTTCTTAATTTTGAAGAGAGAGCCCAGACTCTTCAATGCTTCATTTGCTAATGTGGTGTTGGAGTTGAAAGTAGTTTGAAAATTCTCCATGAAAGCAGTAGTTTCTTCAATTAGTTTATCGACTTTTTCGGTCGTGGACTTGCAAACCTCAGCAGAATCAGCGACAACCTTGTTCATCTTGTCAGCATTGGTTGTATGCTCCTTCGAGATTCCTTCAAAGAGTGAATCTACCGTGGCTTTAGCATATGCATCAGAAGAGGATGGCTTGGCAGAGAGAATTAATTTGTCAATTTTTTCATGAAGGGACTGAAGTTGCCCTTTCGTAACTTGCACCTCATCTTCACTTTCAGTCCGGATTTGAAAGGGACTGTAAGTAAACCCCCAAGATCTTCGTCTTTATCATCACCAAAGACCATATCTGGATCATCGCGGTTGATAGGAGAAATAGGAGGTGAAATGTGGGTGGAGAAACCTGAAGTTTGAGCCCCCGTATCAGATACGTTGACTGAAACAAAAGGTGGGGTTGAGGTAGTAGGAGGAACTGTTGAATCAGTGAATAGTGGGATGGAGAGAGGAATGCTTGTTTGCTGTTGTGAAGAAACTGGAGGAGGGCATGGAGCAATGGTAATTGGGATAGAAGTGGTTTTAGGGGAAGGAGGTGGAGAAGGAACATAATCATTGAAAGTTGGAGTTACCTTAGGATTGGATGTCTCCTCTATATTGTGAATGATTTCATCTTCGTTGCGAGCAGTATCGTCCCCCTCATTGCGAATGTCTGACTGAGTGTTAGACTCCGAACCTTCGATTTCACTAGGCGTGGGAGCCTTTCGCTTGCGAGCCGGCTGCTTTCGCCTTTTTGGAGCAGTAGTAGAAGTTGTTGTTTGTGCCTTTCGTTTGGAAGGTGGTTTCGTAGTGACAGATGGTCCTTCCTTGTCAGTAGATTTCTTCTCTCCCTTCTTCGAAACTTTTTGCCCTCCCTTTTTGGGTTTATCCGCCTCAGCAAGAGTAGCTTGCATTGCGTCTGTTAACTCACGAGGCCCAGATGGAATCAACTTCCTGTATCCCTCAAAGATTTTGCTGGAAGGAGGCACATCTCTAAACATGGCTTCTGGGATTGAGCCAATAAAGGAAAACTTGGAAGCATCTGAAACGATAATTCCAGTAGTGTGAAAAGTAGATATTGAGGCCATCAAGGTGTCTTGCATTACCGGGATCTGGTGCTTTTCAATGGAACGATTGAAGATGAGAGTCCAGAAACGTGCACAGGAAATCTCACTGTGACGTGTGGTGGAGAGAGTACTCTGAACAACTTGAGCCCATAGAACTGAGCCACAGTCGATGTTTGAACAAGTGTAGAGACCATAGAGAATGGCCATGAAAAGTTTGCTAGCACAGTCTGATCCGGTGACCCTTTCAGAGAATCCCTTAAACATAAGAGTGAAGAGCCCATTCCACTTTGGAGGCAAATTGGGCTTTCTGAACTTGGAGATGACAGTTAGGGTTTCTTTGTAACCCATTTGGTAGAACATCTCGAGAAGAGCAACATTAGACACTGACTCTGGGTTGATCATATCATCAGATTGAGGGAGTTGAAGGAGAGAACAAAATCGAGATTTTGTGATTGAGGTCTTGCGATCATGGATCTCGAGCGTGATTCTTTGTTTTTCCTTGATGTAGTTTGCGATCATGAGTAAGCTTTAGACAACAATGAGTGTAACGCCCGTAGATTAGGGCTAGTCAATTTAGAGACGATAAGCGTCAAAAAATGACTTTTTGATGGAAGATTATCTAGAAGGATTAATCTTAACTAAGTTATAGTATATGTTACAAGGATTCCGTACATATAAAGAACGCCGAAATCCGAGTTATAACGAAGAAGTTATGACCTGTCGAAGTTTCGCGACAGAACCGGTACGACACAGCGCGACGTAAATAGTGAATTTACGTTAGAGCGATATTTGGCCTTAGCGATCTAAATGGAATTCGTAGAATATGTTAAACCACGAGCGTGCATAAAAAGAACGTCTAAATCTGACTTCGTATGAGGAAGTTATGATTTTTCGAAGTTTCGGCTTAGCAGTGTACAGCCCGAAGTTCGAATATGAGATCAAGCGATATTTAGCCGAAACAATCTAAATGAGAATTGAAGATCTCATCGATAGTAGTGCAACGGCGGAAAGACAGACGAAAACGGACGTCAGACGAAGGAGTTATGATTTTCTAACGGAGTTTTCCTGTCCCGGCCTACTAAAAATAATATATTAAAATATATTAAAAATAAATTCAAAATTAGCCAACAGAGTCTAAACGAGAGTTGTAGAGCATAATCTCACCTACGTGTGCATATAAAGAACGTCGAAAACGAAGCTCGTATGCGAAAGATATGAATTTCTAAAGTTCGGGGCACGAAATCTGATCCCGTGTCAGAACTCACGACGTGAACACTGTGTTCACGACGTGAACTCAGAAAAACGTCACCTGGACTCTGTCAGACCCCACTTGTGATGACGCATGCAGTGACGATCAAGCCCCACGACGTGAGCACTTGAAACTCACGACGTGAACCCAGAAAATTCACCCTATAAATAGAAATCAAGGGTCAGCCGATTTTGGTTGCTCCTCCCTTACTCTCTCACTCCCGATACCCTCTCTAAGCCCTATTTTAACCCCCCGAAGCCCCAGTATCATCCCGAGACCCGAAGCAAGTCCCGAAGCCCGAAGATCCCGAGAAGAAAAGAGTTTCCGAGCCGAAGCTCTGCCTGCGAGAAGCCCGGTGTGTGAAGATCTTCTAGTTTCACTGAAGAAATACTACTCTTAGAGCCGTAGTGCTGCCCGATCATCTTCTGATCAAGTGAGTGTATAGTCCCTTTCATAAACACGATTTTAATACAAGTATTGTTTGAATGTATTAAGTATACGTTTGGTGTGAGTGTGTAGTTACTTTCTTCTAACACATAAATACGAAGTATTTGCTATGAAATACGTGCTATGTGTTTATATATTATTTGTCTATTTGAAATGGGCATGGAATTGATGTTTTATACAGGTGTTAAATGATTTAAACTGTGTAAGTATTTATATCTACGAAAATGTTGGGTAGAACATGGGTAGATGGGATAGTTGGTGACTTTGGAGTTAGCGCCTATTGTATAAACCTTGGCGACGATGTGACTTCGTGCCTATTTGATGAACCTTGGCGACTATGGAGTTAGCGCACGTTGAGTAAACCTTGGCGACGATGGAGTTAGCGCTTATTGAGTAAACCTTGGCAACTATGGAGTTAGCGCTTGTTAAGTGAACCTTGGTGACTATGGAGTTAGCGCCTGATAGCTATGGATTTAGTACCTGATAGATAAACTTTGGCAGCAATGGACTTCGTGCCAATTCCTTAGGTAAATCCTTAGGAATGAATGAATGAAGGATAGATGGTTCTTAGGGTAAAACCTTAAGAAATAAAGAAGATAATGGGGATGGGTAATTGGGTTGATTGTTTGCTGATTAAATATAATAATTATATTATTGTGGGTTGAAAACCCTATATGCTCACCAGGCTCCCAAGCCTGACCCACTCAGTTTTCTTTGTATCACAGGTATCAATACGAAGACATATTTCACTGAGGGATTAAAGGAGATGTAAATCATTAGTATAAATAAATTTAAGTTCTGTTTATGCTTATGTGTCTGTATCGGAACATGACATCCCGAGATTTTGTTATATAATGAAAATACTTTTCTTTAAGAAATGCTTTGATAAATTTTTATCATATTTTGTTTTGGGAACAAATTCCGCAACAGTTTTCTTTAAACGATTACTCTGATTTTAAAAACAAAGCATAAACAAATCGGTCTTTTCTGGCCGTGAAATTGGGGATGTCACAATGAGAGAGGAACGTTTTCCATTCTTGAAAGAGCAAAGGTGAGAGGTGAATACTTGAGGCACTCGATCATGGGTAGCATAAAGCTATCATATTTGACTGGATCGAGATCAATCACCAGGTTTTGATGTTGTGTGACAGCCAGAAGAGAGGAATGGGCTGTTTGATCTTGAGCAGAGAAGTTTTCAGATGAACCCGCAATTGATGAAGCTTTGAGGAAGAAGATGAACAATACTGCTTTGATCGCCGGAGAGTTTGAGAGTATTTTGAGAGTGGTAATGAAGAATGAGTCGTCAAAACCCTTTTATACCGTTTGATTTGTTAGATAAATCTGGAGAGAGAAAGCATCGGTTACTGAAACGTCGCCTGAAAAAGCGCGATTTGACAACTGTAGGTGTCAGTTCCTTACATCACGAGGTGATAAAGTAGCTGTCGATTCAAATTCATGCACCCATTTGAATTCTTATCAACAGGAAATGTCGCGTCAGCTTTTCCCTTTCGCAGTTGAAAGCGAATACACTCGTCTAGCTTAGAAACGAACGTCATTGATTAAACTGCGAACCTGAAACAAACATAAGTACCACGAACCAAACTTTTTGAAAATCACAAGGATCTTCGTGCAAGTGTGTCAAAGATAAAGAAATAAAACATTGTTATGTGGGATTTTGTAATTTCTCAATAAATACATAAAACTGTGGATCCCGGGCAAATATCTCTTCCTTTAAAGTCAAGAGAGACTAAGAAGTGTCTGTGTGGTTTCCCATTGAAATACGATCAAGTGTTTGATAAGAAACATTGAAAGGCATCTTTTATTAAGGCTTAACGGGTGGCTATTTCTCCAACCAAACAACGAACTTAACATAAGTGCGAATGTTGGATGAATTACTCGTGTGACCAGTGTAGTTAGTTGAACGAGTAGGTGTGGAATTATTTAGGTGACAAGATTAAACTTTGAAATCTCAAAAAAAAAAAAAACTGGATCTTATGGGTAGAAGTAACTTGGAATGAGAACACTTCATAAAGATCTCGCAAAAGAAAAAGAGATTCCTTGGTACAGACCACGAAAGTCGCTTTCGTTAATTCCATGGTGAAAATCTAGAACTTTTAAATTGTTCACCGTTAATTCATGTATGTGTGTTGGATTTGGGGTTTCACTCAGTTCGTGGTGAACGAAACTAAGATCATTAACACAGAAGTTGTGTAACCATAAACCTC